AAACTGTTCCATTTAAATACAAAAATTAAAGAGGGTGATGTCAATTGGTTTCAAGGTTGTTTGATAACATCAAAGGAATCATTTCCAGGGTTCGTTTAGTCTCATTTCCATCAACTAGTGACTGATGAACTTTGTTCATACCAACTCAATCTGTAGGTAGTTGGATCTGTAGATGGGTGTTCAGTTCATCACTTCATCTGAACTAACTTAAAATATCATTCATAGATCGTCTCTATTCCGACTCATTTATAGAAACCAATTTCAAATTATTTAAAAAAAAAGTAGGAGCGCCGTTGCGAACAACAGACCCTCCCGCTGCCAAAAATGATACTGTCACGAACCCCGAAGAGTTGTAACCCTAGGACTCTCTCGCGTGTGTGCAATGGAGTGATTCCCAAGACCTGCTACTGCCTTTATGATCACAGTAACAGCCAGCCAGGTAAGTATGAACATTTCTTCTTTTCCTTCCGCATTTTATACTCAAGCGCCGTGTGGCTTGGAGTGCCACTTCTTTCCTCTGTTTTTCTTTGACTCTTTCATATCATCCATGTCATACTGATCATCCAATTCATGAATGATATTACTACTGAGAGTTCACTCATATCAATGATTTTACTACCTGATTTATTTATATCAATGGTGTTACCAACTTTGTTGATTTGGTTCTGTATTTCTGTTTGAGAGTGTAACATGTATTTGAAAGGTTGATGGCAAATGGTGTAAATGAGTTTGATAAATATCAATTGTATGTGAATATTTACTACATACTGTACTTGTTTCTCTTGTCATGGTACTAACTAATGTACAGAATGTAATATGTAATGCAGAACATGATGTGTGTTTGAATTGAGTAACCAGATCAGAGAAGAGAAGCGAGCGAAAAAATCACGAGCCATCGTAGTATAGTGGCAGTACTCAGCGTTGTGACCGCTGCGACGCAGGTTCGATTCCTGCCGATGGCACAGGTATTTGGCGCCAGTGGTTTAGTGGTAAAATTCATCGTTGCCATCGATGAGCCCCCGGTTCAATTCCGGGCTGGCGCATACCTTTTGGCATTCCTTTTGCTGTATTCACTCTTACTTAATCGATATCACCATGGATGTGAATGAATTGGTTCATTAATTGTAATTCGATTACTTTTTGGAATTTGTATTCTCAGGACTTGGACGCATCAACCTGAAAACGTATCAATATGTTTGGTTCAATAGGTGTACAATAATCAGTCTGTATTGAACAATTATTCTCGTTCAAACATAAACAGTTTAATAATTGGGGACAAAGCCCACCAATAACTACATTTCTTTCTAACGCAGTCAAATTGTCCCAACCAGGAACTGAATCCCATTCCATACACGAGTAATACAACCAAAACGCATATATAAATTTGTTCAAATTTGTATCGATGATGTACAAATACTTGCAATGCAAGCTATTGATGATAACGATGTAATTATTCAATTTTACCATCAGCCTAACCATTTCAAAATTCAAATTACCATAACCCATTTCCAAAATTTATTTAAATTCAATTCAATTCAACGGTGATGTCGCCAAATGCTTCAGGCTGATTCACCATTATCATATCTTTTGTGCTTCAGGCTGATTCAACATTGTCAATTATTTCAGAAAATGTCAATAAAATATGTGATACTGTTAATATATTTATTCTGTTAAAAGTGTTTCAAGTGAACTGATTAACTTTTCATCGCCTGATTCTTTCACTGCTTTTGATACTAAACCCACGATATCACTCTCCAAATATGTTGTGAACTTATATTTTGAATCATCAGACTTAGGTGTCTTGACGTACTTAGCTAAAGTTTTTAATGCATCTGGAAGTTTTGAAGCAGCAACGTAGGTTTGAACTTCTAATGCTAACTTGTACTCTGTATCTTGTTTAATCAATTGCAATTTTTCAAGTGTTTCCAAAAATCTATTGTTTTTGTAATCGTGTAAGGCAATAGCGAAAATTGTAGAATTCAATCCAGTCCAACCTAAAGATTGCATTTCCTTGTATGTAACAATTGATCTTCTCACCCCCTCTTCAGAGTTTGCTAATAAACCTGGTACAATCAACAGATCATATGCTGATTGCGTAACTGGTCTATCATAATAAAGAAGCAACCCAAAACTTTTGTACATATTATCCAAAATAGTAACATGTAATTCAGGATCAGTTTCCGTCTAAAATTAAAACAAATAGTAATATTACAATCGCAGCAGACCCAAACCTTTCAATTAAGAGTCTAATTTGGGAAGATAATGGGTGCAATGAGTATGTGAAACGATTGCACAAGATTTCCAATATTAATTCAAGTTGATTGGCTTTAAATAAACCGTCCAGGACAAGATTTGTATTATTGGCCGTTACAGTGTACCCACCTAAAAATCAATTTACAAATCCAACAATACCTTTTCTCCACATTAGTAGGGATGATTTAAACAGATTCAATTCCTCTTGTGTAGACAGGAAAGGGATCATTTTAACTAATTCATTGAAGTCAGCTCGTTTATCCGAGTTAAAAGAGAGTCTATAGGTTTCCGAATGGGTAAAGACTTCTTCTCCTATATTTGGTGGCAACTCAATTGCTGATTTTACTTCAGTATCATAATCTGTGTTATACTCTGCCTGTAAATCCAACAAGGAATCCAATTTGGATGATTTAACTTTAGTAGAATACAGCTTGGAAAACATTGCATTTCCATTCCATTTTTTGTGGTTCAATTCCAGTTGCTGATGAAAGTTGATTCTTAGAAGAGATGTTAAAGTTTTAAATCGTCGTGTCATTGATTAGAAAAAAAAAGAGACAAAAAGAAAGTGGACGAAAATATTTTCACTGTATGTTCTACTCGGACTTGGTTGGAAAGAAAGGGACGCTAGCAAAAGTCTGGCTAGCTGCTCATTGGGAAAGGAAGTTATCAAAATCACAGTTTCTACAGACTAACCTACAATCATCCATTTGTATTCAACTTGAATCTAACGTGTTTGTTTAGCTGCTATCGTACATGAAGATATGGCATTACGACTTTCAGGTCAACTACTTTTAGGCGTTGTGAGGTATGATTTATATTCTGATCATTAATAAGGATTTACTCAAGAAAGACTCGATACTTGCTGGAGGATTGTGGTGAAGCTCTGGTGAAGATTAAAATGGTAACATAAATAGCTGGTTTATCATAGGCCTTCAGACCAGGTGTAGTGGATTTGGCTAATGATCAAACAACGGCAACGACAAATGCTATTACACTCCCAGAATCAATGAATGAGTTTGATATTTTGAATGATCCTATCTTTGATTTCAATGCTTTATTAACATCACGAACTAAAACTGGTCCAAAAACAACTACATTGCAACCAGACACTACATTCCTGTCGTTCACTCAAGATATCCCTGAACAAGATTATGATATCCTGAAACAGGTAATGTAATTCCCTAATATTAGAGTGAATTTCCTGATATGTCAATGGAGATGGGTCGAGATGCTGATGTTAGTAGAGAGTTTTCTCCTGGATTGGGCAACGATCAGAGTTTAAACCAGGACAAATTTCTATTGCCTGACTCAATAGAAATAGCACGTGCAGATGAGAACGAAGCGGACCCAGTACTTGGCGATGACTTACTCGAAGGTGGTGATATACTTGATTTCGGCCAAGATGTACTCGATTTCGGATTGCCAGAACCTGTTCAACCAATAGTTGAGCCGGAAATGGAAATTGACGCTTCTATCATTAAGCAAAACGAGAATGAAGTAGGTGTTGAGGATCAGTTACAAGGTGATATTGACGCATTTTTTGAAGAACAACCAATTAACATTGATCTTCCAATATCCAACCCAGGTATTTCAACTTCCAACTAATAGTTTACAGAGTTAGAAGTGGATGATAATGAAAATAAATTAAGTACATCTTTGGCAGGAGGACCTACCAATGAGTTAGAACAGGAAGATGTAGAATTAACTCCCAAACCGAAACGAGTTAAAAAGCGTGTTCAGCAAGCAGTTCCCCGTAAGCGGAAATTGGTAATGGATGATGCGATTGATATTCCCAATGAAGTATTAAGAGTTCAGATTAAAGAAACCGACGATTTAAAAGTCCCAGTAATATTAAAGATTCTCATGACAGGAAAAATATGTGCAAGTGTCTCGTTATGCTGCTGCGTCTGTAAACATCAGATTAGGGGCAATCGATTTTTATGACAAACGAATGTATCAATATCCGAACGTTTCTTCTGATATATTTTTATCTGTTTCTTCTAATCAATACCCTTTCATTCCTTCGCCACCAGCTACTGAAGTAGATAAAGAAGATATTACATTAGGTAAACAAGATAACAAGGACTTCAGCATGGTTGTTGAAGAAGACATTATGCCAATTCCGACAGGTATTCTTGAAAATTTAATTGTAGATAATGTGATGGATCTACAAGAAAACACTTTTGATTTTGGAGATATTTCCGCAATTGATTTACCCTCATTAGATTTGGATGTGGGTGAAGTTTCGGCAATTGATATGGAAGATAATGCACAAAAGAAACAAAAGCTTGTACATTCTGAAGCAGACGAACAACCTTCTTTAGCAATTATGGATGAATCAATTGTTTTTCCGGAGTCTCAGCCTGCGAATCGTGTTAGTGATATATTTCATTTCGATAAAGACCTGGAGACAGACCAGAGTAATGAGAAAGGCCTCAGTGGAAACTCTGTCAAAGCAATAGAGGCTATCAAAGAGGCTGCCGAAGCAACTGAGCTTCCAGAAGTCTTATTTGATTCAATTACCAAAGATGTAAGTCAATATGACAATCTTACTTTAGGCTTCTCGGTCTGAAGCAGCACGTTTCTTTTTCGAACTGCTGGTTCTCAAGACAAAAGATATGATAATGGTGAATCAGCCTGAAGCATTTGGCGACATCACCGTTGAATTGAATTGAATTTAAATAAATTTTGGAAATGGGTTATGGTAATTTGAATTTTGAAATGGTTAGGCTGATGGTAAAATTGAATAATTACATCGTTATCATCAATAGCTTGCATTGCAAGTATTTGTACATCATCGATACAAATTTGAACAAATATATATATGCGTTTTGGTTGTATTACTCGTGTATGGAATGGGATTCAGTTCCTGGTTGGGACAATTTGACTGCGTTAGAAAGAAATGTAGTTATTGGTGGGCTTTGTCCCCAATTATTAAACTGTTTATGTTTGAACGAGAATAATTGTTCAATACAGACTGATTATTGTACACCTATTGAACCAAACATATTGATACGTTTTCAGGTCGATGCGTCCAAGTCCTGAGAATAGTAAAAGAATTACAATTAATGAACCAATTCATTCACATCCATGGTGATATCGATTAAGTAAGAGTGAATACAGCAAAAGGAATGCCAAAAGGTATGCGCCA